GCCAATCAGAGCACACCTCGCTTTTCAGACCGATGAGCTTTGTAAAAATGTACGCGTTTCAGAAAGGTGGGGCATAGAGGAGAAACAATAATGTACAGTATGTGGAAAATAATGTGTTTTTTGAACCTTAAACCGCATAAACACATTTCATACACCAAATACACAAAATAATGTTCTTTTTAGCAACATCATATGACCCCTTTAAAGTTTGCATTATCCTGGTTCCCTCTACAAAAACCCAAACTATTTTTTTCATTAGCTTTCCGATTATTGCAGATAATAATCTCTGTGACCAGCAAAAGTGTAGTATTCTTACAAGATAAGGAGCTTAATATTTAAATGTGCTATAAGCGAATTCAGCCATTTTGCTAACTTTAACCACGTTTCCTCAGAATCTGCCTAAATGCACAAAATGATTGACAAGCCGAGAGCATTTCTGATTGGTTAGTTTCCGATTGGATACAAACCTTCTTATTGGCAATTGACTCTTATTTTGTTGTTTACAGGGGCTAAATTCAGAATGACATACTACTCTTACTGTTTTTGTCATATGTTACATACTGTATCTTTATGTGGCAGAAATAAGAGTAGTATTCTAACATACTAGTCTGAATTCAATCGGAGTCTAGTTCTGTCACAAAGACAAGTATGATTTCTCAAGACACATATTTCAGTGATTTAAAGTCATAGGGATATTTTATGTGGAAGAAATATCACTAATAGCACATTTAAAATATGTTTAAATATGCAGATATTTCTTATCCTGTTACCTTAGCAGGCTGTATGTGTGGCTCCTTGCTGAAGCTGATGCTCCACTCTCTGGGGGCTTCTGACCCGCTGCTCTCCGTGTGGCTCCTGGAGGTCCTGCGTACAAACAGATGTCTGCGTTTCACTGCTGCCTCGTTGACGCCCTCCATCCCTGGATTGGTCCGCGGGGACCCCTGCTGTTGCTGCACACTAGGCCGTGCTGTGAGCTGTGGCTGTATGTGCATTTGATGCAGGCATGCGACCTGCTCCCGCTGTTCCAGACGGTTCAGCGTGGAGAGCACGAGGGCCAGCTGCTCATGTAGCTCTGCAATTGGCTCTAGCTGTTGCTCCAGTTCTGTGACCCGTTGGAGCAGGCGCCCAACGCCCCATCTCACGCCCTCTTCCGGTGCCTCCAAGGAGTGAAACAACCTCCGTAACTTTCCCAAACGTTCACGCCTCTCTGGCAGCCCAGCCCCACCCCCTTCCTGAGCCCCGCCTACTTCCCCTGGTAGAACTGCCATGGAGCCACACATGCTAATATCGTCTAGGAAACGGAAGATGGCGCTGATGTCATCCTCGCCGATGTCAGGGTTGTCAATGGAGAGTTTATCGGCAAGCATGAGGCTTCGTAAAGCGCGCCGATCTGCAGGCTCTGTTTGGGTGCCTACGCTAACCATGCCCTCAGTGCTCGGTGACCAATCGTACCATGCGTCCAAACTCATGCCGCTCAGCCGTTTGAAAGTATCCCGCACCGTATTGACGATGCGAGGATCAAAACCGGGAATGTCGAAGCTTGATCTGTCGATGCTAAGTTTAACAGATCCTGGTTTTCGTAATCCCGACTTCTGTAAGACAGATCGCTCTGATCTGGGTTTCTGCAACCCGGTCGTTTCAGGCTCAGGTCTTTCGTCCGCTGACCTGCTGTCGATGTCCAAGCTGTGGCTTTTGATTTGAAGAGCAGGGCTTTGGTGCTTTTGGTTGGAGACCGAAGGGCCGAAGTAGGTGGATGTCTGGAGTTCGTCCAAACTCTCATGCTTTGCCTGACGCCACTGAGTCTGAGGGTCATAGGGGTTTGCGGCATCATCGTACGATTGCGCGTCGGCCACGTGTGCATCCGGTTCATTCGAATGAGTCGTGTAAGCGTACGAATGGTCATGCGCATGTGATGCCGGGTTGTGGTGGTCGTTTGCATATGTTGCAGGGTCTGGATAGGGGTTCTTTTGGGGAACGTAAAGCAGGTCCTCTCCATCCAATCTTGGTCCATCTGGGCTTTGAACTGACTGGCCGCCGCCTTCCATGGATATGAGTGGAACATTGTGGATCCCTTCTTTAAAAGCACTCCTCTTCTGTGAGCAGGAATGAGCAACGCGGGTTCCCTGATTGGTCGCTGGTGTCTTGCCAGCCTCCTGATTGACTTCCGCAATGGAAATGTCCCCAGAATGCGCGTTCTGCATGCTGTCCCGGTTGTGTATATGTGAGTGAGGCTCAGCGACCAATGCGGAGGTGGTCTGAGCGTGTGAAGCCTCTGTGTTATGACTGAACGCTTCACAAGGGAGGTTCTCATATTTACAGTGCTCAGAGGCGGCCCCTCCTCTTGTGACGGGTAGAGCGGCTGGCCAGTCGTAACGCACAAATCCCTTCCCACAGACCTGACAGGGCATCAGAGACTGAAGGTTCAGCGTGTATGTAGGAGCCATGCGGGTGTGCATGAGGAGGTTGAACAGGGAGACGACATCGGCGGCCGCTGAGAGCCGGTTGCTGCAGGGCGGGTGAAGTCGCTCTCGGAAGAGGGTGGCAGGGAAGCAGGGGTCTCTACAGGCGGTGGAGTACAAGAGACTCCGTAATTCTAGAAGCGGCTGCAGGCTGAAGCGTCCACTCAGATAGACACAAATGTCTGCGTACGTCACGCTCCCACGGCATGCACCTAACACCTCCAGGATCTCCAACAATACAAGGGGGTCTTCAGGGTTTTCAGCCATATTTGCACCAGATTTCAGCTTGTACTCATACGCACTACTACATGTAGAAATTTAAGCCCACTGTCCTTTGCTTTCCCCACTTCGTCAAAGGCAAATGCAGCTCTGCAAAAAGGAGCACAGCCGCAAAATCAGGTCAGCCAGAGGAGGATTTCCACAAAAATTACTTTTGCATTGACTTCATATAAATACTATGCAAGTTAAAACAGTCCAAGAAAGGAAAATGCAATAAAAAACAAGCGGTTACCTCTTGCCACTGGGATATGGTGCTGAGAACAAAGCAATTAATGCTGACCTTATTCAAAGCCTTAATATAGCCACTGATCGGAGCATTTGAAAAGCGCAGAAACCATTAGTGACGGTGTGAAATCGCCACTCTCCGCTGATCAGGGTCCCTTCTGAGAGACTCTCGTAGGTAATGCAGCGGTCAGTGGTCAGGCAGCGGTCAATCCTACGGTTAGTGCAGAAAAGCAGGTCGTTTGGGGTCTCAAGGGATGCTATGAATCCCGGTTCTCATCCGCACATGAGAAACAGCATGGATAGTTTCTGCTTCATGTGTGACAGGAGTGTTGCATCCTCTAGTTGGTGTGTTTGCACACGGAGCTGCTGTGGCGAAAGTCACGCAAGACGTTAGTGACTATTCTAAAGCAGGACAATAAACATCCAACAGAAGAAGTGCATTATACAGTACAGAGAAATGCATAGAAGAAACCTTAAATTGTAAATCCTAATACTTTTATTATAAAATATTTCCTTTGTGTATTTACATTAATTGCTATTATTAAAAATAAGTAATTAATAAAAATATATTTAAAAATGTATTTCCTACACATTGGTTAATAAAACAAATATTATTCGATAAATATAAAAATAAATAACAAATGACATACAAAAGTTACTATGAAATGCATCCATAGATTTATTTTTTATACACTTCTCTGCATTTTATTTATTTAATTTGTTAATTGTTAATAAAAAAAGAAGTCAATTAATATAGAGATAATAGAAATGTTTCTGAGTTGCATTTACCTTTGGAGTTTGCACTTTGCTCTGATTTTTCTGTTTATATAAAACATTTTTTAATTAAATTATGTTAAAACATTAACCAGTTATTTACATATTAAATGAATAAATAAAATGGCATAATCGTAATCATATTTGATTCCTAAATATATTGAATAGTAATGTATTTTTATTTACTAAAGCCTCAATAAAAAAATTGCATTTAAAAATATTGAAACAAAGCATAGATTTACATACAGCACATTTAAGCATATGACATTTCTTGAGTAAAATCTTAAGAAATAACTTGAAAATAAAAGCCCACCTGTACCATCTGAGGATTTGTCCTGATGCACACAGACCGTCCCAAATCGCATGCAAACTAAAGTGGAGAAGTCAAACAGCCCCAGCATCTGCTCAGTATGGTACTGAAGTAGATGAAGAGAGGTTTACAGACTATAACACTTCCTCTCTCTCCGTTTTAGTATAGCCTACAGCTACATTAAAGTGATCAAACCTTTTAAAAGTGTAATGGAGCTCGTTCACTTCAGACATAAGATAGTATGCACTGTTAAGACTCATCAGGAACTCAAAGTTCTTTCTCTATCTCGAATTGACGAGCATCTGAAATACATCAGGTTTAAGATGACTTCAGCACACAGTACAGGTCTATTGTAAAGTTTGTTGCTGAGTTAAAAAGTTTGTTTTAGTCATCTCAGGTTCAAAATAATTAATCATAAAGACCACCAGGGGGCAACAAAGCTCACGTTATATCAGATTGCATGTGAATAGGAAAAAATCTTTGAAGGGGGAAATACTGACTACTACCAATAAGCAAAATTAAAAAAAATGTCACATTGCAACAATACTGTCATAGTGCAATAATGGACGAATAAATTATAATAATTAATTCTGTATTTTTGCTGTAATTGGTTTTGACAGAAATTGATAGACAAGATTGTTATTGCATAAATGCATATAATACGTCAATGATTTTTAGTAATATTTAATAGCAATAATATATAACAAAATATCAAACCAAGTGGCAATTTTTCCATAGAAAGACAGCACTTTTTAGTATATTTAAGTATTTCACTGCCCATAAAAGGGTTATTAACTAAAACCAAAACCATAAAAAATATTTTGTTATTTGAAATTAAATAAACGTTAACTAAAATAAA